TTAGTGAGAGTCAAACTCCAATAAACTAAACCCAAGCACTTAAAACTTGGAGATAAACCACTGAATTTGAAAGCCCAAGTCGAGTATGCAATTTGCAATTTGGGTACTTGGGAAAAATATTGTGAACCACCATTACATGTTGAACATGGTGTTCTAGGCCAATGAAGTGATAACATGTATCTATAATAGTAAATATGCAATATAATTTAAAAATCTTAATTCTTTTTAGATGAATCAAAATATTTTATTGAGGTGAGGAGTACAAGTGGTGCTCAACTCTTAGTCTCCATGAGACATTACAAAAGATAGCCTATGAGAACATTCAAGAATCTAGTTTTTAGTGATTTCTTGTACACATAAGCTAGGGAAATTACACCAACTAAAAAAAGGAGAACATAGTGTTTACAGATTTCCCTCTAATCCATGCAAAAGACCTCCTTTGAATTAGATCAAATATTTTGTCTTCTTCCTATTGATGTGAGTTGTGTATGATTTTGTTTCTTGTGTACCATATGGACCATGTCACCACCAAGAAGATGAAAAACCACACATCAGTAGTAACTAATTTCTTTATCCCTTGGCTATGTGCTTCGCAAAGAAAAGAAATAGAATTGGGGAGGGAGATGGAAATCCCCCACCATTTGTAACATCTCATCCATAGCTCTTGGATCTTGTAACACTGAACAAATAAGTGATTTTCATCCTCGACATTCCTTCTACAAATGTTGCAGATGCTCTCCTCTTCTTCAATCAAAATGCCCCTCTTTTGAAGATTTGATTTTGTTGGAAGGCCATTAAGTAAGAGGCGCCAACCAAAACAGCTTACTTTTGTCAGATTTAGTTTGTTCCATATCCTTTTGCATATTCTTGCCTCCAGAATTCTACTTTGTCCAACCATCATTGAGTATGCCTTGCCGACTGTGTAGCCATTTGCTGCATCTACGCTCCAGCTCCATTGGTCCGGTTGGGATGATAGCACAATCCCGCTTATGAGGATCTCCTTTAATCTTTGTTCTTCATTCTTTTCCCTACCAAAAAATTCACGTCTCCAAATATTTTTCCAGACCCATGCTCCATTAGAAA